GTCGTCAGTCGCGGCGTGACCGTACCATAGGCCTGCCTGCCCATTCCATCGTTCGTGCCCTGACACAGTGCCACAGGCTGATAGCTTCCATGCCACGCCAGCTTGAGGCAGTAATTGCTGCAAAAGGGGCCCAAACCAAGTACTGAGTACATATGCATGCTTATACTTTTCAGAGGCCGATATTGTTCTATGTACAATCCTTTTTTTTATTGTTTGCATGTAATATTCAAATTTTCTGAGATCGTGGATTTGGGGTTTTCGTGAGCTGTAAGCCATAATCATCACATTTATGACAAATCACGGCTTGAACTATCTTGCTTTGCATGTAATGAGTCTATCTCATATATTAGTTTTACCTTTTAAGTTGCATTACTGAAATAAATTAACTTTTGCACGATATTCTAATTTTTCGAGTTTCACATGTACATATTCTGGACAAATTTCATCAGTCCAATTCTAAAGTTCAGGTCTGACTTATTGTAAAGCCGCTCACAGACTTCAGTGCATAGCCCTTTCTGCAAGCAAAATATAAACTTCCTAGGCCAAGCAAAGCTCTCTAAAACTTGGCTCTGCCAATCTTATAAAAATGTGAAGAGGTCAGGCACAAGTAGCCACATTTTCTAATGTACTATTGGCTAATAAGGATCATTTACAAACAGCCAAGTAAAATACAATTCTAAATTGTAATAATCAAATAACATGTAAACATCAAATCCATTATTACAACTTCAAAATATGTACAGACACAAAACACAATATAGTTTTACTTTAACCCTTTTGCCGCTGGGTCCATATGTTGTACGGTCCTAGCAGTAGGGGGTTTTATACACAATCCAGTGGCTGCAGCCACCAGGATTGTGTATAGTAATCACAGGCAGACTCCTACCTGGTCAGGTGGAAGCAGTCGAGCGGCTGCGCTGCTGCCCGATCTCTTCCATAGCCCCCCATACCAGTGCACCCCCCTCCCCCCTCCCCCGGTGCATACTGGTGTATCTCCCGCTCTCCTCCCCTTCGTTCTGTGACCCGGAAGGTGATGTGTATAACGTCACTTCCGGGTCACGGCTGTCAATTACCTCTGTTAGACTAGCCAGGGATACATGTATTGCAATGCGATCTGCATAGAAATACATCTAGTGGAGACAAGAGGAGACATGCAGGAGACCCTGCATGTCTCAATAAAGAGAACCTATCACCTAAAAATCATCACTTTGGGACTTTGTGTCCCCTATGTGATGAAAAAAAAAAAAGTGAAATTTTTTTTTATTATTGCAAAAAAATAAAGCTATACCCAAATTTGAGGCCCCCCACCCCCCACACACGTACGAACATAAACGCACACGTCTGGGTGCCTACACATGAAAAAGTTCATTCCGATACACATGTTATATATCACCGTGCACGCTGGAGTGAGAGCAATAATTCTAGCACAAGAACTCCTCCATACCACTAAACTGATGACCTATAGAGGCTTTTGAAGTGTCGGCTATAGAAAATATAGGGTACTAAAGTTTGTCACCATTTCATAGGCGCACACAAAGTTAAGGTTTGGCATGTTGTGTATCTATTTACTTGGCACAATCTCATCTTTTATATTTTATCAAAAATGTGGGTAATTTTTGTGTTTGTTTGCCCTAAAATTTACTTTAGTGTGATTTTTGGAACTACCACTATTATATTCTCTATGGTGTCTGCTTTCAGAAAGTATATAATGTTTGGGGGGTTTGTGTAACCTTTAGGCCTGAAATATTTTTTAAATGTGTGCAAAAAAATGCAAAAACAGATCTGGCAGAGAAAGGGTTAAAGGGTCTCAGGCAGGCTTAAACATGTACCCTTGCAATTTTACCTAACAAGGAGTGTAAGCAGTGAATAAAACATATAACAACAAATATTGTTGCAATGCTTTTGACATAGCAGCGTACTACACTTTGCTAAATATCCCCCAAGAAGCCAGACACAGAATGAAAAGGATGCATGTAGTTTCATCCTAGAGCATTTCTCTCCAGGTAACATGCAACTGCCTGTCCTCAGTGGGACTAACTTCACTCCATAGAATTCAATGTCTTTTAGTGATTTCCTCTATGACTAAGTTAGGCTGTAATATTACTGGCAACACATTTATCAGAGGGTTTAACCCCTTAGTGACTGGGGGTAAAACAAATATTAATGCCTTTTGTAATTTTTACATGTGTTAGTAAAACTGTACATATCATTGCAACTACTTTTTGTATTCATGTGGATTATGCCTTGATTTTTTCCAGGACAAATTGGGGTTTCTTTTGGTGGTAAATGGCAATGGATACCTCATTTTTTTTTATTTTATTATCAAAGGAAAACTTGTCCAAAATAGCAAAATCAAATCTTTTTTTAATTGAGCTGTATATTTCTTGCTTTTACTATAACCATTTGCCAACCACCTCCTGCAGGTGTACAGATGCCGGATCACGTATCTCGTACATGATCCGACAGTTCCAGGTAGGGGGCGTGCACTAGCTGTGCAGAGATTAGTCACAGCACAAACCGATCAGTTTAATAATTGACCACCAGCACCTGTTCAGTGAGGAATTAGACAGGGTAGAGCTCTGTCACTGTAAACAATCCAGAGTTCTGCCCTGTCAGCGAGGATGTCCCGTTTTTTGTTTCCCTGCAAAAAAAGGGATAAAATACGGCACATCCCTTAGTGAAAGTGCCTCATAGTACACATATAAACACTGGTTAGGTACAAATTTAACCCTCTGATTTCCCTAGATGTTTAACTTCTTCTCAACCAGTGCCATTAGTACAGTGACAGTGTATATTTTTAGCACTGATCACTGTATTAGTGTCACTGGTTCCCACAACGTGTCAAAAGTGTCAGATTGCCTCCCATACTATCACAGTCCCACTGTAAGTCACTGATCACCGCCATTACTAGTATAAAAAAATACATTAATAAAAATTCCAGTATATATACACCATAGTTTGTAAGCGCTATAACTTTCACACAAACCAATCAATATACCAGAAATATGTAGATGAGTACTCATTGGCCTAAATTTATGAAGGCGTTTGATTTTTTAAACTTTCTGGATGTTTTATAGCAGAAAGCAAAATATTTTTTTTTTTAATTTTTGCACAAAAAAATAAAAAAAAACCCAATGGTGATCAAATACCACCAAAAGAAAGCTCTATTTTTGTGAAAAAAGGATATATATATTTCATTTGTGTGCAGCGTTGCATGGCAGTTAAAGTAATGCAGTGCCAAAAAGCAAACAATGGCCTGGTCATAGAGGGGGTGGGGGGGGGGGGGGGGGTAAATCTGCTGGAGGTCAAGTGGATAATTTACCACCAAAGAACCCCCCCCTCCCCAAAAAAAAATCTGCTGCTCCTGACAATCGCAGCAGTACCACAAATGTGTATGCATGTTGTTTATACCCGTAATAGGGCCTATAAACAATGGTACGCATTTTGGTTTTTCTATCCTGCTTAAAAACACGCTGACACTGATAATAATTTTAAAAAACGCCATTTTAGAAAAAAAAATCCTACCGAAAATATACTGACCCTGACCTTTGACCCTTACCTTGACCCCCAACACTAACCCTGACACTAAACTAGATGAAACCTTGATCTAACAGTTTTTTTTTCTTTATTTTTGAATTTTTATTATTATTTTATTTTTTTTTCCTTTTTGCACACTTTTGTTTACATCTTCCTCTCCTGCAAAGAAAGATGCAATGTATCTTTATCTCCATTCAGAAGTGGATGTAAACAAATGAGCAGGCTGCACAGTGACTGATCACTGTACTAGCCAATCGTAGGTTATCACAGCGGTCAGGTGAACTGGGATTCCCGGGTCCCGAACGTTTGTATGAGAACTGGGGCTCCCGGTAAGAGCCTGGACTCTGTGCTGGAAGTGTGCTGTGTGGCCCCAGAGATAAAGGCCCACTTCCGTGAGGCCGCATATCTGTGTACAGTCGGCAGGAAAAGGTTACTGATAGATATGGAGATCTTAATTTAAAAAAATCTCTTACTACACTGTAAAAGATGAAACGATGAACTACAAGTTAAATGCACCACTATGAATACAATCTACAGAGATGAAGTTTGTCTATAAACCCCGTAATAACATAAATAAATAAACCCCTTTAACCACTTGCCCTCCAGAGGATTTACCTGACCAGGCCATTATTTGTAATACGGCACTGTGTTACTTTAACTAACAATTGCGCGGTCATGCAGCACTGCACCCAAATGAAATTTACGTCCTTTTTTCCCACAAATAGAGCTTTCTCTCGGTGGCATTTGATTGCCTGTGCATTTTTAATTTTTTGCACTATAAACAAAAAAAGACCGACAATGTTGAGGAAAAAAAACCAATGTTTTTGACGTTTTGCTATTAAACATGTCCAGTAAAAATTTTACAAAATCTAAATTTCTTCATAAATTTAGGCCAAAAATGTATTCTGCTACATGTCTTTGCTAAAAAAAATCCAAATACGTGTAAGTTAATTGGTTTATGTGAAAGTTAGTGTTTACAAATGGCAGTATATATACTGAAATTTTTTTTTTAACTAGTAATGGCGGTGATCAGCGACTTATAGCGGGACTACGGCAGGCATTCTGACACGGGGGGAACTGACTTGGTGTCACTGACATCCTCAGTGACACCAATACAGTGATCAGTGCTAATAAAAAGCACTGACACTGTACTAATGGCACTGGGCAGGAGCTGACAGGGGAGAGATCCGTTTATACAGAGGTCTCTCCCTCGTCTGTAATACTCGGCGATCAACAGGTGCCAGCGAGTAATCACTGGCCGGGACCCGGTGACTGACAGCCGAGCCCACAAATGGCGGATCATGCACGCGCCCCCTAACCGGAAATGCTAAATCACGTATGTATACGTGATTTTGCACACCCCTGCCACCCTGTAGCAGTATTTCTGCTATAGGGCGGAGGGGAAGCGGTTAAAAGGACACCTGTCATGAGAGAAATGTAAACAATAATGCTACTTGTCTTACCAAGTAAAACAGGATAGTCTTCAGCTTCCAACCATGGTGTACATATCTGGGTGTTCTGAAGCTGCAGCTCTTTTATTAACTTACAATAATATTCCTTCAAAGGGCCTTTTCCTGAAGGTAAACAGCAAAGAAAACATGATTATGGAAAGGTTAAACTGTAATCGGCGAGGTATTAGAACATCATACTTTCCTAAGTACAACTAAATAGAAAGTCCTTTTATGTGTACTTCAACCATTGAGGGATATTTACTAAAACTGGAGCGTGCAAAATTTGGTACAGCTCTGCATAGCAACCAATCAGTTTCCAGGTTGTGTTGCCAAAGCTTAATACAACAAGCTGAAGTTAGAAACTGATTGGCCATCATGCACAGCTGCACCAGATTCTGAGTGCTCCAGGTTTATTAAATCTCCCTTATTGTATCATTGGATTACTTCTGTAATCCAATTGTTGTACTTCTGTGTTTTCACTCTCGGTCTTGATGAAGACAATAAGCAGCCGTGCAGACATACACTGCACAGGCATGGTTCACTGTTATCAGGAAACCAATCCAGATCAATGATATGCAACCGACATTGGAGCTAGTGAATGCAAAAATGAAGTGGCTGAACGAGGCTGGATATTTAAATACCCCCCTAGCATTTCTAGCCATGGCCATCTTGAGTAATGGCAGATGATTCATGAAGCATTTACTGGAATCCATCTGTCCTTAGGTCAGGCATGCAGACAGCAGGGTGCTTAGATGAGAGAGCTCCTCCTCCAGATGAAAGAAAGGAAATGCTAATGAAGATTCCTAAAACCTATGACATCATTTTGGCATAGGCCAGAAACCAGGAAGCAAACTGAAGAAATGTAAAAAAAAAAAAAGTTAAAACAAGGATGAATAAAAAAAAAAGGACTGAAAGTTCATGTTAACTGAGAGTTTGGATCCACTTTAAGACCCACTATAGGCCCATTGCTATTCTAGGCAGTCCCATTGGCCAATAGTCTTAGGAAGCAGGAATAAGAAGGGCCAGGCATGCAACCCAGGAAGTTGTAATGTTCATATCAGAATGTCCAAGAATTTGGGGAACCTGGACATGCCAGTCAGGCACATGGAGGTTCCTGGTAAGGTGCCTGCTATTACACGATCTGATCTCACTGATTTGAATTGTCTATGCGGACATGATCACAACTGGTGGATTGTATCACAGTTTTATTCACAGACATTTATATGAATGTATATAAATGAGCGCAGGGCATTTTTTTTTTTTACACATACAGTATGTAGAGTGATTCTTCACTTTTTAGTTTAGTTCACTAGTGGTGCATAAAGTCACCTTTTTTGCACTTACCTTCCACTTCACTTTCAATTTAAAAGTAACTGTTACCTGTAATAACGCAAACAACGGAAGGAAGGGTGCTTCCATTGCTGGCGAGCGCATCATAGTCTATAACAACAAAAGGAACACACAAAATATTAAAGCAGAAATGTTAATATACATGAAAACAGCAACAAGCAAAGCTTTGACGAAAAAGCATATACAGTGGGTGTAGAAAAGAATCACCCACTTTAAAATATTCACATTTTATTGCTTTGCAGGCTGTAATGAGGGCAGACAGTTTTTGTTAGTGTGTAACATCCAAGTGAAAGATATTACACCAACATGTCAGAAAAAAGTAAAAAACAGAATCAGTGAGTTGGAAAAAGAATCACCCCCTTGTGTCAGTATTTTGTTGAACCACCTTTTGCTTTAATTACAGTCTTTGGTCTGTTGGGATATATCTCTAACTATTAACTTTGCACATCCAGACTTTGCAATATTTGCCCATTCTTCTTTGCAGAACTTCTCAAGTTCAGTTAAATTTGATGGTGAATGTTTGTGAACGGACTGCAGTCTTCAAGTCATTCCTCAGATTTTCAATGGGGTTTAAGTCTGGGCTCTGATTAGGCCATGCAAGGACAGTCACCTTTTTCTCCTTCAACAAATGTGTGGTCATTTTTGCTGTGTGCTTCAAGTCATTGTCATGTTGGAAGGTAAACCTTCTTCCCATTGACCACGTTCTGGCAGAGGACAGCAGATTTTCCTCAAGAATTTGATGGTATTTTGCCCTATTCATTTTTCCTACTATCCTGACAAGTGCTCCAGTCCCTGCTGCAGAGAAACAGCCCCATAACAGGATATTACTACCCCTATGGTTTACTGAAGGAATGGTGTTATTTGAATGGTGAGCTTTATTGGATTTCTGCCAGACATATCGTTTAGTGTTGAGACCAAACAATTCAATTTTAGTCTCATCTGGCCATAACCCCTTTTTCCACATGGCCTCAGAATCTTCAAGGTGCGTTTTGGCAAAGCTCAGGTCGAGACTGCATATGGCCTTTCTTGAGGAGTGACTTTTTTCTTACAACCCTCCTATACATGCCACATTTGAGGAGAATTTGTGATATTGTTGTCACATGCACACAATGACCACTCTTTGTCATAAACTAGGCCTCTTGGCAGCCTCTGACCAGTTTCATCCTAGCTTTTGCATCCAGTTTGGAGCTACATCCTGATCCAGGGAGGGTTGATGTTGTATCAAATACCTTCCACTTCTTAAAAATAGACCTCACTGTGCTTCTAGGCATTGATAAAGCCTTTGAATTTTTTTTTTTTTTGTATCGAACTCCTGACTTGTGCCAGTCCACAAACGTATCCCAAAGATCGTTTGACAGTGCCTTGCCATACATAGTTGATTGTTTGCTTCACTTGCACTACCAGGGGCTGAAATGCTTTTCATGCTGATCTAATCAAAATGACCATAGCTGATCACAGTTGAAAGCCAAATGGCTTTATGTGCCGTTGAGAAGGTAATTAGCTATACTTGATTGAGTTTACAAGTCATTTTTAGGAGGGGGTGATCCTTTTTGCCAACTCGGTGATTCTGTTTCTGATTTTTTTTTTTCTGACATGTTGGTGTTCTTTCACCTGAATGTAAATACAGCTCCATTTAACAAAAACAGTGTCTGTCTTCATTTCAGGCTGCAACAAAAGCAATAAAATGTGATTATTTTGAAGGGGGGTGATTATTTTCTACCCACTGTATGAAAGAGCTCCAGGTAAACATATACAGTAATACACATATATACAGTGCCCATTAAAAATATTCAACCATTTGAGTTTACACATTTTATTGTTTATAATGCACTAAATCACTAATTTTTTTTCAACTGATCAACAGAAATAGACCAAATCATGTCAAAGTTAGCAGCCTAATCCTATGCTGCTTTCAGTGCCTCCTTGTTTTATATACACACCTACCCTTCTCACTTTTGGAGTGTAAAAGGTAATAAAAAGGTATTGGTTTGTGTGAATGTCTTTGTTATTCTACTATATGTTAACAAAAACTCTGCAGAACAGTTGTTTTTATATCTCTAATGAGCAGGGCATTGTGATCTCTCTTGTATTGCATGATAATGTACCTGTACTGTCTCCCTTCATTTTGTTAAGTGCTGTGCAAAATGTTGGTTCTATGTAAATCCTGTATAAGAAAAATAATAAACATAATATCTATAAAAACTATTTGAATGTAAAAAAAAGTTAAGTCTAGCCACAAGTTCTGTTTTGGGTTGAGATCTGCACTCTGAGTTATTCATTCCAGTCCAAACCTCAATAGTCTAAAGTTTTAAAAAGGTATGGCAAGGAACTATGGGCTCCATTGACTAAATCTACCGTGTTAAAAATTGCAGTAAAATAACACTTAACGGTTTTCAAAAGATTTTTTTAAATGCACTAAAAAAAACGCTAGTAAAATAAGGTATGTGCTATTTCATGAAGTGATGCAGTATTTTAGTAGTGAAACCATGTTGTACTTTAATGCCGGCAGTAGCCGGCGTCCTTAACAAGCAGTAAATAGCTGCTTGTTAAGGAGCGGGCGGCCACCTGCATCGTTAACAACAATGACTTATCTGCTGTCAGCGGGGTTTTGTGTCTGGCTGGCTACAGTTCTGGATGATTGCAGCGGTGACAGGTGGCTCTCTCTCTTTGTCATGTTTACCATTATCGTTGAAAGTGACAGTAGAAGAAAAATAACACATTTTGGGTTGTGCCCAGAAAAGTAATAGAGGGGATATCTTCTAATAGGTCTAATAGGGACAGAAGTTCTGGTGACCTGGGTGGCAAAAAAAGATTCCCTTAGCCGCTTCAATACCTTTCACCCCCCTTCTTGCCCAGGCCAATTTTCAGCTTTCAGATTTTGAATGACAATTAGTCAGTTATGCAACACTGTACCAAATATAATAATAAAAAAAAAAAATTCCACACAAATAGAGCTTTATTTTAGTGGCATTTAATCACAACTGTTCTTTTTCTGCTAAATACAGACATACAGACCAAACATTTTGGAAAAAAAAAAAACCAAAAACACAAAATTTTCTCCATTTGCTATTAACCACTTAACCTCCAGAGGATTTACCCCCCTTAATGACCAGGCCTCTTTTTGCTACTCGGCGCTGCACTAATTCAACTGATAATTGCGCGGTCATGCAATGCTGCACCTAAATAAAATTTACGTCCTTTTTTTCCACACAAATAGATCTTTCTTTCGGTGGTATTTGATCATCTGTGCGCTTTTTATTTTTCACGCAATAAACAAAAAAAAGGCCAAAAATTTTGAAGAAAAACAATATTTTTTACTTTCAGCTATAAAAAATATATAGTAAACTCAAAGTTGGTTATAAATTTAGGCCAAAATGTATTCTGCTACATGTTTTTGGTAAAAAAAATCCCAATAAGTGTATATTGATTGCTTTGTGTGAAAGTTATAGCGTCTACAAACTATGGTATTGATACTGCAATTTTTGCTATACAGCGCTGCGCTAGTTTAACGGACAATTGCGCGGTCATGCAAAATGGTACATAAATGAAATTTACATCCTTTTATTTCCCACAAATTGAGCTTTCTTTCCGTGGTATTTGATCACCTGTGCGGTTTTTATTTTTTGCGCTATAAAAAAAAAAGGCTGACAATTTTGAGGAAAAAAAACAATATTTTGGACTTTTTGCTATAAAACATGTCCAGTAAAAAAAAAAAGTAAAAATCAAATTTAGTCATAAATTTCTGCCAAAATGCATTCTGCGACATGTCTTTGCTAAAAAAAAAAAACAATACGTGTAAATTAATTGGTTTACGTGAAAGTTATAGCATTTACAAATGGCGGGAAAGATACTGTGATTTTTTAGTTTTTTTTTTATACTAATAATGGCGGCGATCAGCGACTTATGGCGGGACTGCGGTGGACATTCTGACATTGGGGGGTACTGACTTGGGGTCACTGACATCCCCAGTTACACCAATACAGAGATCTGTGCAAAACAAAAAACACTTGACACTGTACGAATGGCACTGGGGAGGAAGGGGTTAAGTTTATTATTCAGGGAAAGGGTTAACTGTGTGAGGGGAGTGTTTTACTAGGGGGCGGGGGTGTGTACTGCAGGGAACACAGCTGATTGGGAGAGAGAAAATCTTCTGTCCCGATCAGCGTGTCCTGGAGCTGTCAGGGAACTGACAGAAAGCACAGCTACTGCAGCTGTGCTCTCTGTCAGCGATTGCTGCTGATCGGCGGGACATAGCCGGTAACGACCGGCTGTGACCCGGCGACTGACATCCGCGGCTGTGATCGGCAGGACAGGTAGGGCGGCAGCGCACCTCGCGCGCGCCCCTTACCTGTTTTAAAAAACACACGTTTTAAAATGTGGTTTTGCCCAGCCGTGCCGCCCTATTTCTACAGTGGCTGGGCGGCATGTGGTTAAAGGATAAGCTCACCTCAATTCCCCCCCGAGTCCACACTGTGCCAGCAGACCGGGAATCTTCTTCCCGTGTCTGCTGTCACAATTCAAAAAAGATGTTCTGTGAATGAAAAACTACAAGCCCTGACAGCCTTTGAGGCTGTCGACTTGTAGTTCCCAATGAACTACCATGGCGTTGTTGAGCGCAGTGGTAGTTCATTCTCTCTTCCTGTCTGTGTATATCTGCCTGCTTGTACGAGGTACGTGCACACAGATATACAGACAGGTCTGCAAGAATCCTGCAAGGCATCCGCGATCTGCAAAAGGCTTTTACCTGCAAAAAGATGTTCAAGAGGTGAATGTATCCTTTAAAATTTGCAAATAAATAATCATTCTTCCTAAAATTTAGACCAAAATGTATATTGCCACATTGTTGAAAATCGATCAGTCCTGATATACTGACCAGATTGTTGTGGGAATGAGATAATTAAGAGAAAGTGCATTATGCCGATCATAAAAGTGAGAGGCAAATTGATTTGGGGAGTGAGTGTCCTGCGGGGAGCTGATGTACAGAAGGCCTATCTTATTTCTTGAGGCCCGAAAATGCCAGGACAATACAACTACCCCTTTTTGGAAAGTAGACAGTCCAAGCTATTTAGTAAGAGGCATGGTGAGTTTTTTTTTTATTTAACTTTTTTTTTTTTTTTTTTTTTTTTACATATTGTCATCAGTGCAGTACAGCAACATCATATAACAGGTGTAGTGGTGATCAGGGAAACTGATGGGTGACAGTATGTAAAAAAAAATAATAATAATGTTTTCAATTTTTTTTTCCTTTATATATTATTTTTTTTCCTTTTTTACGATTTTTTTTTTTTAATGCACACATACTGTGACCAGAGCAATACAGTGTTACCATAGTGACACTGTACTACTCTGGGGAGTTGATCAGGATATTTTTTATATACACTATGATCACCTTTACCAGTGAACAGTGTTATAAGATACCATTTGTTATGAATGACATCCATTTATTCACTGTGTACTATTGTGAGGCTGTGATTGGCCACAGCTATCACATCATACAGATACAGTGCGACTGGCCCTGTCTGTACCATGTGACCGCTGTGATTAGTCACAGAGATCAACACAATAGTACATAATGAAGGGCTATGAATGGAAGCCATTCATTGTGTATAACTAGCATGTGATCTGCTGTGGTCACAGCGATTACATGGTATCGACAGCGACCTGGTACACTGATCTGTCATCTGCTGTGTCCAGTGAACACAGCAGGTGACAGCTCATGCCACAGTGTGGCCCATGGAGAACACACGAGATGTAATCCTGGGAAGACGTCATATGATGTCCACCCAGGATGGCAGCACTCCTGCTTGAGTGCCATATTAAAATAGGCTGGGCGGGAAGCAGTTAATATGCAGGGATTTTCTCTCACTTCCTGTTTTGACTACGGGACAAGAAGTGAAAGAAATCTCCCAGTGGGACACAGATGGTAAAAAATAAACTGACAGGGATTAATAACCCTCCCTTAATCCATAATGAAAAAAAAAAGTTTGCCTATAGTTTTACTTTAATGACTAAGAAGCATACATAATGTTATATGTCTATATAGAAACAAACTATAAAAAGACAATAATAGCATACCTTGTAGTGCCCTCAGTAAAACATTGAAGTCTTCATCCTCTGCATAAAAAAAAAATGTTAAATGAGGTTCAAAACCATAAAAAACCTGATCAAAAATGTGGTACAGGATGAATTATAGTTCAACAAAATGTGCAATTCACATTTTTATGATGCTTTTGGCCACTTGAACAGTTTGCTTGTGAACCACCTCTGCTTTCACTTCCTGGGTTTCTGCAGAGTTGTAGGGGAATTGATGTGGATATGCAAAGTAGGCATTTTCCAACAAAAGCCCTGTCCAACCACAACAGTGAAAGTCTCTGTCCCAAAATGCAAGCTCTGCTAATTTTCATTAGGAAACATATCAGGCTCACTTCACAAAGTCAATACACCAGAATAAGAATCTTTAAGAAATTACAATTATTTTCAGCTAAATTCAATAGGATTTTAAAAGTACAGTTAAATGGCAGAAATTTTTTTTTGTACTAACTATAAAAATGTTTTTCTTGAAGCCCACTGAGGGACACAGGAAGATAGGAATACTTAGAAATCTGGGTTATACTGCCAACAAATTCAGGAGCTTTAGACACTGGCAAACAAAGAATGTTAAGCCGATCTCAATGCAACTTCACCTCCAACAGTCATGTCATAGCTCGGTAAGCAGCCAGTCGTACATAAGGCCATAATACAGAGGGGGAGAGACCTAGGTCCCTAAATTGACTGTAAAAAAGATTGTATGGCAGGTAGAAAAAAAAACTTATTTTCTTTAGCATCCCATTGAGGGAAACAGGAAGACAGGAATTCTTAGACATCTGGCATGTCTAAAAACAATTCAACTGAGGGGTAGATAATAGTATAAGACAAAAAAAAGGGAGAACTAGAGGTTTCTAAGCAAACAAACAAATTGAACAGCAAGGAAGTCAACAAAAAAGGGAGTAAGCCAAAGCCCAGAATACTTTACCTATGTCTGAAGGGAAAGGATGGTAGGTCAGACAAGGTATGTCCAAGATCCCTCAAGATTTCTGGAGTTTAAGCCAGGTAACAGAGACCTGTACAGACCTTACAGGAAGTAGAGAACCAGGAAAAGAAGGAAATTTCCTTGTGAGTAAGGAGGAGAGACCATCAAAAGCACTACCATTACTGTTTCAGGTATGGGGCAACAGATGCAGATATCTGACAACATCATGTAAGAGTAGAAAAACAGGGTGGGTATGAAATACATGCCCATCACCATAAGGCTTAGGGAGTTAGTCATCCATTCAGTTGCAAGAGGAGTACTTCAATTCTTTTCTAAAAGAGACACAGACTGACCAAAATTTGCAAATGTGAGTCACTGCCAACAAGGGATGGACAGATATATCAGCCATCTTAATCTGTGACCAAAGAAAGGAATCTAACTAATACAGTTTGATAGTAGGTTTATTTATGTGAATGACTGGATGTCTACAGAAAAAAAAAACACATGTCAATCAATTCTTTTCCAAAGGAAAAATAGCTCTTTACATTGTCAGGAGGTAGCCATGATTCCACCAGTTGTTCCCATTCCTCACAGAGAAAGGATTTACCAACCAAGTATAAAGGGGAAGGTATTGAGAGCAATATCTATTAACCACTTGACCTCCAGAGGATTCACCCCCCTTAATGACCAGGCCTCTTTTTGCTACTCGGCGCTGCACTAATTCAACTGATAATTGCGCGGTCATGCAATGCTGCACCCAAACGGAATTTACGTCTTTTTTCACACAAATAGAGCTTTCTTTCAGTGGTATTTGATCACCTGTGCGCTTTTTTCATTTTTCATGCTATAAACAAAAAAAGGCCCAAAATTTTGAAGAAAAACAATATTTTTTACTTTCAGCTATAAAAAATATATAGTAAACTCAAAGTTGGTTATAAATTTAGGCCAAAATGTATTCTGCTACATGTTTTTGGTAAAAAAAAATCCCAATAAGTGTATATTGATTGCTTTGTGTGAAAATTATAGCGTCTACAAGCTATGGTATAGATACTGCAATTTACACCATTTTTTTGCTATACAGCGCTGCGCTAGTTTACCGGACAATTGCGCGGTCATGCAAAATGGTACATAAATGAAATTTACATCCTTTTTTTCCCACAAATTGAGCTTTCTTTCGGTGGTATTTGATCGCCCGTGCAGTTTTTATTTTTTGCGCTATAAAAAAAAAAGCTGACAATTTTGAGGAAAAAAAACAATATTTTGGACTTTTTGCTATAAAACATGTGCAGTATAAAAAAAATTTAAAAATCAGAACTAATCATAAATTTCTGCCAAAATGCATTCTGCGACATGTCTTTGCTAAAAAATAAACCCAATACGTGTAAATTAATTGGTTCACGTGAAAGTTATAGCGTTTACAAATGGCGGGAAAGATACTGGGATTTTTAGGTTTTTTTTTATACTAATAATGGCGGCGATCAGCGACTTATGGCGGCGATCAGTGACTTATGGCGGTGCTCAGCGACTTATGGCGGGACTGCAGCGGACATTCTGACATTGGGGGGTACTGACTTGGGGTCACTGACATCCCCAGTGACACCAATACAGTGATCAGTGCAAGACAAAAAAAAAAAAAACAAAACACTGACACTGTACTTATGGCACTGGGGAGGAAGGGGTTAAGTTTATTATTCAGGGAAAGGGTTAACTGTGTGAGGGGAGTGTTTTACTAGGGGGCGGGGGTGTGTACTGCAGGGAACACCACTGATCGGGAGAGAGAAACTCTTCTGTCCCCATCAGCGTGTCTTGGAGCTGTCAGGGAACTGACAGAAAGCACAGCTACTGCAGCTGTGATCTCTGTCAGCGATTGCCGCCAATCGCCGGGACATAGTCGGTAACCACTGGCTGTGACCCGGCGACTGACATCCGCGGCTGGGATCGGCGGTACAGGTAGGGCGGCGGCGCCTTGCGCGCGCCCCCTACCTGTTTTAAAAACACACGTTTTAAAACGTGTTTTTGCCCAGCCGTGCCGCCCTGCCGCCGTATTTCTACAGTGGCTGGGCGGCATGTGGTTAAAGATCCTATGCCTGGAACAACAGGTTGATTCTCCAATCGCAGGGAAGAACGCACTGCATCAGAGTATGAAGGGCTTCTTGTACAGCAGAGTCATATGAAAATGCAAGCTCTTCAGGAGAATGCTTTGAAACTCTGCAAGCAGATTGCTGCATTAATTGTGCGCAAGCTGATAAAAAAATGTACATGTTCACAGACTGAGGGTTTGGGTACAGCCTACAAAGCTTTATTGAGGATACACTAGACACTTTGCAGAGGAATGGCTCATATATTCCTTTGGAATACAAAGTATTTTGAATGAAGAAAAAAATTGAAGACATAATATCATAAAAGGTCTAGTAAAATATAACTGGAATTTTTCTCATAAGTACTGGTGAAAAGGTGTCCAACCCAATAGGACACTAGCAAAAAATGGTCGCATGATGGTTGGAGGCTGGTTATACGGGACTGGCTTAGAGAGGTTTATTTACCAGTGTTCAAACTGCCTGCAGACAGCAGTATATCCCAGATGTCTAAATTCCTATCTTCCTGTGTCCTTTAATGGACAATAAAGAAATAAAGATCTTTGTTTTAAAGTTTGTGATGTACTCAGCCACCTGAGAAAAGTACAGTGATTTTGAGAAGAACTGCTTAACCACATGTGGACATGGGTAAAAATTAACTCTCAGGGAGGTCGCTTTAGATTTACATTACAGAATATAAAGATCAAAAGCTGGGTTCTTACTTTAACCAGTTCAAGTCCGGACACCTTTCCTGTCTAGGTCAATTTTCAGCTTTCAGTGCTATCACACTTTGAATAACAATTGCACAGTCATGCAACACTGTACCCATATAAATTTTTTAGCATTTTTTTTGAGACAGATAAAACTTTGTTTTGGTGGTACTTGTTCACCACTGGGATTTTTATTTTTTTTTGCTATATAAATGAAAAAGTCCAAAAATTTAGAAATTTTGTTTTTCTTATAAAATTTTGCAAATAATCTTTCTTCATAAATATTGGCCAAAATGTATTTTAGTAGGAAAAAAAAAAAAAAACACAACAAACTTAGTTTATAACCAAAAATTATAATTTTTAAATTTTTTTCATTTTTTATTTTTTTTATATTATTATTTAAGTTTTTTTTTTTAAACATACTGTCACCCTAGCAGTACAGGGTCACCATAGTGACCCTGTACTACTTGTGGGGGGTGATGAAGATTTTTTTTTTTTTTTTACACCGATTGCTTTTACACCTATAAAGGCTGTAAAAGCCATCATTTCTCCAGCTCTCTGGCTGCATTCTTGCAACCATTGAGAAATACTGTGAGAGCTGTGATTGGTCACAGCTTGTCACATGGTACAAGGCTGTTGTGAATAGCCTTGTACCATGTGACCTCTGTGATCATTCACAGATTTCACTAGTAGTAAGCAATGGTCAATCAGTGATCACATGATCGGGACCTCACACAGAGGTCCGGTACAGCGATCGGCCTGAAAATGCGTGCACCGTTTATGAACGGCAACCCGCTCCTGCACTGCTCCCGTCCGGCCATTTATGTACATGAGCCAGAAGGGAAGTGGTTAATTAAAATTATTTATTACTTCAGAAATTGCAACACTAATAAAAAATATGCTGCATTAGAAGGGGTTAGGTCCAACAAGGTGTATGCAAGCTCGTGGACTTCTCTTTTATTTACATTTTTACTAATCACTGGAGTACATTGTACAGCTACTACTATATTCCTGGTGCTATGACAGCAGAGATGCGCTCTGCTACACAGCCCTCATCTGCCCAACCCTCCGCTGTCCTGTTTATAGAATACTTTGTATTTTGCAAATGGGTTCATATAAAACAAGCATTCTGTAACTGGGTAAGAGGAGGAGAGGAGGGGCAGGAAGCGTGGATGCTGTAATCAGAAACTCAAAATTCCAATGTCAGTTAACGATAGCTTTACTCCCACGCTCAGTAAAAATGTAAATTATAAATAAAAGACAAGTCCATGAGGCGGTATACATCTCGCTGAACTTAAAGTAGAATTTAAGAGTATACCTAATTTTAAAAATGTCCCCTCCCCCTTCACAACACCAATTCTGTCTAACCTGTGTAAGAGTAAACTGTTTTGCTTACCTATTTTCAGTCTACCTCAGTCAATTCACATGATCCCTGAGTCTGCCAGCATCAGCTGAAGGGGAGAGCAGAGAGTGCTCCACAACAACTACCAATGCTCGGGAGCAGTGACAAAACCCATAGGATTACTATAGCCCATCCTTCTTCTCTACTGAAACCACTGTCGGCTGACACAGGCGAGCCAGATCACGACCAGATCGGACCTGCCTGAAAAAAGGTAAGTATACAGATCTTTCTTGCACAGGTTAGTTAGTAACAGTGTTAGGAGGGGGAGAGAGCATTTTTAAGATTAGCTAGATATATCCCCAAATTTTACTTTAATCCTAATAAACCAGCAAAGTTTTAAAAGTTATGCAATTTCTGAAGTTCAGATTTGGTAACAGAGGAAGCTACATGGAAGATGCCAAAAGACCAGGCTAGGAATCATTGTTTAGTTGCTATTAGAAGTCCAAACCCATGGGTTCGAAAGAAACCCATATTTCATGTTCTGTATTTATTTATTGTAACCAAAGGGACATATAAGTGTTAGAATTATTAAACTGAACATGTATAGAAGTTGGATTATTCTAAATAGAAACACAAGCAATAAGGGATTTCTAGTGCTTTAAGGCAGTTGGCTGTATTAATTTTAACTGAACATTCAACATAATGGAAAAGCTGTGCAACTTTATTGCATCACACAATTGTTCTATCCTATAGCAATTAAAATCCATAGTCACAGGGTCCAATAAGCTGGTAATTTTTTTTTTTTTTTTTTAACTTGCTTATTCAAACCAAGTGCAACAGAATAGATTGACACTGAAGGGGTCTATTTATACGTTTTCACAAAAGATTCACACATTTTCCAATTAAATTCAGGAAGAAAAATGTGTGACTCCTGTGTGTCAGTACAATAAAGAAAAGATGATGTACACTTTTTAAGTAGATAACTAGCTTTAAAAACTGTCCGTTATTATTGTTTAAGAATAGAATAAAAAAAGCAGAATACCTGTCCAGCTTGTGCTACTGATTAGCAGTGCAGGTCTTCCAGCATTGTATTTAACAATGTTGCTCTTTCTGTTGAATTCTGTGAATGCAGATCTTTCAATTTCTGACTTGTCATATTCTACTCTGAATGTAAAAGATATGTTAATTTTTAAATGGGGGGGGGGGGTTGTATTCACTGTAACATATTTTTCTTAGATTCCATTGGGGGACACAGGAAAAGTCTTCTACTGTTAGGTTCTACTGCCGCTTACAGGACAACTGGACACTAGCAAACAAACTACAAGCAAGTTCAGAATAACCGTCCTACTCCCAGCATGCCTGAATTTTGGGGCAAAGCATTAATAAGAACACGATCATAAGCACAGAGGGCTGGAACTTGTGTCCTTCAATGGACTCCAATAAATATTTTATTGGCAGTATAAAAGATTCTGAGAACATTTTTGAGGTTCACAGGAAGTCTTGTGCGGTCAGGACATCCAAAAACAACACAGCTGAGCTGTGGGCAACATCAAAGTAAACCTTAACAGGCCCATTAAAAAAAAAAAAAAAAAAAAACAGCAGCAGCACTGAAGATTGCCTGCAGCTCAAAGAGGCACCTGAAAAAAATCTTCAGATGATGCCTGAACAACTACCTGGTAAAACTTTCAGAACATGTGAACAAAGACCAGGTGGTAACCTTGCATATCTGACAAATAGTAGACCGATACCGAAGATATCAGAAAGCATTCCAGATCTAGTATGGTGTTCCTTGACAGTAAAGGTTGGTACCAGGTCCTTATGCCTATAATTTTAATTGATGGGTGTGTCTGAGCTGCCTATAATTTTAAATGATGGGTGTGTCTGAACCATCATGAATGGTAAAACAAGAACGTGGTTTACCCTTATGGGGGCTATCAGGAACGACAAAGAGAGAGTCAGTCTTTCTAAAGCAAATAGTGGCTGAGAGACAAAGTCTCACAGACCAACTATATCCAGGCAAAGGGGGGAGTTTTCCTTCAGGTGATGTCAAAACGGGTTGGAATACCATATACTGTATGTTTGGACACATCCAGAACTATAAGGTTCACCGAAATGTCCTCCATCTCAATCCTGTGAAGAAATTGAGAATAGAGTTTTAAGGGAGAAAAAGGTGTATATCACTTTGTCAGAGTTACCAGATTATGTGGCTTCTGCTGGAAGTTCCTTGTACTTTAAGACAATCCTGTCCAGTATGTTGTTGAACCTGGAGGTCAGGAGGTCCACATCTGGCATCCTAAACCTGTGACACAGGTCCTGGAACAGCCTTGGGGGTAAGGTCCACTCCCCTGGTCCAGACATTGCTGGCTGAGAGAAAGTCTGTCTGCCAATTGTCTATGCCTAGGATGTAACGGTGGACAAGACTGGATAGTGAAATTCTACCTAGAAAAGTTCCACTTTACCATTTTTACTGCAGCAAAAGTTCTGGTTTCTCCTTAATAGTAGATGTACACCATTGCTATTATTTTGTCTGAATTAATTCAGATCCAGCCAGGAGGTCCAGTGTTGCAGGGACAGCTAAATCGACCAAAGTTTCAGTATGCTGATCAAGAGACAAGATTCACAGGATTACTCTCTGGCCTGTCAGGCTAGAATCTGTGATAAGGATCTTCCAGAAGACGGGATGAAATGAGTCTGTCCAAGGACTGAACTGACTTATTCCAATACAAAAGACTCTTGTATTGGAACTGCACAAATGGGACTGCCTTGAAGGAGGCTACCATCAGTCCCAAGACTCTCATACAGAAGCGAAGAGTCAGAGGAATGCTGAAGAGTCTGAGAGCGAGGGTTTTAAAGTTTTTCCTGTTGATGAAAAACTCTGGCTTGAGCTGTATCTAGGACTACATATTGTAAGCAGTGGATCTGTCCCAGCACATATTTCTGACGGTTCAAGATCCAACCTAACTTCTGCATGTCTGGAACAGTCCAGGCTACATTATCTGCTAGATTCCATGCCAGCTGCAGAATATCATCTAGGTTTTCCAAAGAGTGAATGCCCTGAGAGCACAATAAGGCTAGCACCTTGTTGAGCATCTGGGGCGCAGAAGATAGGCCAAATAGCACAGCCAAAAACTGGAAGTCCAGAGGGCCCACAGCAAAGCATAGGAATCGCTAATACATGGGAAAAATTAAGACATGCAGGTATGCATTCTTGAAGTACACAGAGGCTAGAAAGTCTCTTTGTTTAAGAGAGGTTATGAAAGACCTAATAGATTCCATACAAAATTTCTGTGCCTGACTGAAGACACTTAGGGCTTTGAGATCCAAGATGGGATGGATGCCTTATTTTGGTTTAGGGACTGTAAATAGGTTAGAGCAGAATCCTTGGAACTGCTCTGTCACAGGTACTAAGGCAATGACACCCTGCTCTTCAAGGACTGTATGGTCATCTGCCAACTGGTGCAGAAATACAGGCAAGTTGGAAGAGATGACCCAAGAAGAAATTTTAGTTTGTAGTCCCAGAAACTACCTCACACACACAAACATCTAAAATGTAGTCTGTACCAAGACGCTGAAAAGCCTAACAGATGTCTCCCCACTTTGGAAAGTGGGCGCGTATCCCCATGCTGAAGATAACTTCTCTTGACTGTTTAGGGGACTTGGAAGTCCAAGATTGGGCTACAGAGTTTGGGTCTTGAGTTTGAGGGCGTTTCTTAGCCTTTGTTGAGCGGTGAGTCTTCCCAGATGAGTACTCTTGCCACTGGTGGCATCCTTGATGAGGGCATTCAGGCCAGCACTAAAAAGTCATAGTCCCTTGAATATCATGAAGAGTGCTTTTTACATACAGGTTCCACAGTCCAACATTTTACCCAAAAAAAGTCCTTTTCATGTTCACTGAAAGCAAACTTGTGTACAAAATAAGGCGGGAGACATATAGCAACACATCCACACCATAGCTTAAGGCTGAAGGTATGAGTTACAAACCATTCATGACCAAGGAATCAACTCCTTTAGTGATCAGATCCCCTGGCTTCAGGCCAGTCAGTCGCGGTTTCACGGATCAGTCATGGTGGTTGCAGTGCAGGGCTTGACAGGGAGAACGGATCTCTAGAACAGGCCTCCAATCACTTATTTGTGGAGTCCTAAAAAAACGTGCAATCCCCCACTACTCCTATTCTACTGAGATGGTAGCCATTATGTTAAGACAGGATAATGCCTAATCCACATAGGGGGCAGCCCAATTTTTAACAAAATCTTAATCAAATGAAGACAAGGATGATAGATATTTGGGAGGTACAGACCTCCGATAAGAATGTTTCTAGTGTCCATAAAGGAAGACTGCAAACAGTAAGTGCACCACCGTGCTCTTGATTTCCCTAAAGGATCCTAGACTAGCGAAAATGCTGCTTAAAGTTACAGGCTGATCCATTTGTTTTTGTGGTGTGCACTGCATTAACAAGAGCAACCAACTGTTTCTATTTGAAAGTGATGGCAGAGGACTGTGACTCCTCAGATGCATGTTCATCTGTTCAGGACTAGAGAGACTCAGCATCACACATTAGAGTCTCAAAGGCTCAGAGGCCATGGGCAGATCAGATAGAGATTAATCAGGGGAAAGCGCAGGAGCACTCTTAAAGCCTCTGTGGTAGAAGTCAGTGAACATTAGTTCTATTTTTCTAAAAAAATCCTGCATGACTACAGCAAACTCTCCCCTGGATAAAGCAGAAGTGGAAATGCCTGAATGAGCTAGGGGAAACTTTGAAGATGGCATAGACTCTAGTTGAGAGCTAAACTCCAGGCCACAGGCATTGGTCCCTTCAATGGGGCATGCTGCAGGCACCAGAGCAGTTAATGGAGTGTGAGCTGGAGGCACCCGATACAGCAAAACTTGCACCACTTTGACAAGAATCAGACAGGCTGAACTGAAAGGTGCAACACAAATTAGGTCATGGTATGAGGCAACACCTCTGGTATTAGGAAACCCAGCTACTTGGAAGCAGGTGCAGGGTCAGGAGGCCAAAGTTTATCGGGTCTCTGTAGGCGGGCAGTAGAAATGGATGAAGAATCAGGGTTCTGCATGGCTTTGCCAAGCCGACACCAGTGGAAAGGTGCTTTCTCAACAACAACTGAACTGTGAGAAAAAGCGCAGAGCAGGTGTGCATGACACTCCACCCAGTTGATGATGTCAACGTTCAGCCCTTCAATGTTAACCCCCTTCCTCAGTAAAAATGGTAGAAAGAAAATTAAAAGGCATTCAGTGGACCCACTAATAAAGTAGCTTCTTGTGCTCCGTTCAAACGGCCTGTTCATCAAGCGAGCCTTCAGAGGCAAGGGAAGTGCTGTGTCACTGTTCTGAATCTGGGAAGCCCTCCGAAACTAAATTTACCAATATATGCATGTCTGGAATGCACCCAAAGTTGAACCCAGTGTCCGAAATTCACATTCCAGGTCTAGATATGACACACCAAATTCAAGCTGAGGGAACGCTGATCCGTATTGCTGCATATAGGGACAACCTTAGCATCGATATAGCAGGAATCTTGATTGAAGGAAAAAAAAAGCTAGTAAAAAGGGTAGACTTCCATCGTCCTAGGATGCTAGCATAAAACTGAGGCATGCTGAGTAGGAGGGTTAGCTTGGGTTGACCTACAATTTTTGTTTGCTTGTCAATGTTTGATACTCCTGTAGGCGGTGATAAAACCCAATAGTGCAAGAATACCTGTGTCCCTCAATGGATGAGAAAGAAAATTAGATAACACATAATTAGGCTCATTTCTGGAATGCCTAGAAACTGAGATATGGTAAGCAGTTACTAAAACAGATATACAATTAGAATAAAGTTTTGTCTTTTCTCTGTTTCTTCAAATATGTTTTATTATATAAGACATACACTATATTGCTAAAAATATTGTGACACCTGCCTTTGCACGCTCATGAACTTTAATGGTACCCCAGTCTTAGTCCCTAGGGTTCAGTATTGAGTTGGCTCACCCTTTGCAGCTATAACTCTTCTGGGAAGGCTGTCCACAAGGTTTAGGAGTGTGTCTATGGAAATGTTTGACCATTCTTCCAGAAGCGCATTTGTGAGGTCAGGCACTGATATTGGACGAGAAGGCTTGGCTGGCAGTCTCCGCTCTAATTCATCCCCAAAGGTCACGACTCTGTGC